GTATCCTTACCCTGACATCCACATATATGTGTTGTTTTAATAAGTTCACATGTGTTTAAAGCGTGTGGGAGAGGTATTTTAAGGCTTGAACTAAAAAAAAAAAAAAAAAATGTTTATATGGTCTTTCTATATCGCGGATTTTCACCTATTGCTGATGGGTCTGGAACGCATCTTCCGCGATAGGCGGGGATCACTGTACTCTGCTTTCACAACTGCTCTTACACTGGATTAAAGGATTTTTAAGAATTTTAAAAATATATTTGAGTTAGGGCCAAGATCTGCACTGTTTCCAACTTGCAAAACATGTTTTTTTTTTTTAATTTTTAAATGCATGCTGGTGCTATTGCAGATTAGCTGCAATCCTGCCACCATGCCCCTCTCGAACTCTCAGATGGCTGTCTGTGTTTGTATTAGGTCAGACCACTAGGCCTTGCTGGGTGTTTCTGTACTCATAAGCGGTGAGTCATTTCTAACAAAAGCATCTGGTGAATATATGAAACTAGCCTGTCCATAAATTACCCTGCCTCCAACCGGAACTGTCACCCTTGCACTTACCATGCCTATGACCTTGTCACCTTCGACTCTGTCAGCGGATTTGACGGGGCTGTAATCATGATTGCACCAGCTGGACAGGAAACGACTTGGGAAAATCGTGAAGCACAGGCCAGCACTGGCACACCATGCCCTGTCCTGGTACATCAGCTCAAAATGAGCTATTGAGTCATGTTTAGCAGAACAAAAACATGTTGTATCTTGGCTGTGAACAGTAAGGGTTTCTGCCTCGTCATGCTGTGTTCATGCTCTGAGCTGTGCTCTGCTGTGTATGCAGTATGTCTTTCACATCAAGTTCTCCGTTCAGAACATCCAGGTGAACAGCTTCCTGTGAGACGTCACCGTCTTCAGAAGGTGTCTGATTGCTCATGTTGGGGCGTGGCATTGCAGTGGGAAAGTCACATTTTAATTGGCAGTTGTGATTGAAAACAATTTGGATTGTTTTGCATCCCTTGACTGTAGTGTGTGGATATCATGTTACTGTGTTTGATTTCAATCTGCTGTTTGTTTATTGAATGGAAAATTTGGAGAGATTCGATGTTGAAATTGCGTGCTGTATTGACGCGCTTGTTTGCAGAGGAAATAAGAATTGGGAATGTGTCAATATCAGTGTTCACCAATCTGGTCCTCAGGAACCCGCTGGCAGACCACATTTTTGCTCCCTCCCAGACTGTCCACGTTTTTTTAATACTGGGAGGGAGGAAAAATGTGGACTGTTTGGGGGTCCCCAAGGACCGGGTTGGGAAACACTGGGTATAATTGGGTGGTTAAGGGGCTTAGTGGGTTTGGCATGGCAGCTGCCAGCTGACCTTAAACCCTCCTGGATTCACAGTGGTAATTGTTGTTCCCTCTCCTCCATCTTTAGTTGTGTCACAGGAACTTTATCAGATTATAGTGTCGATTTGCTTTTTCCTGTCTGTTTGCGAAGCTGTTCCTCGTGCTAATTGGTTTTTTGGAATGTCTGTTTTTGCGGCACATGTTAAGTATTATGGAAACCACTGACGCCGTAAAAACGAAGACACCGTTAAAGGAAAGCAGACTTTGGAAGAAGACAAGCAGCTGTGGATGTCTCTGCATGCCATGATGACCTGGTCCTCATTTGCTCCCTCACTGCACTGTTACTGCCTGCGGAAGGGGATGAATTCCCCAGCTCTCTGCCTGCGTTTGTCTTAGCTTTCCTTGGGAACGCATGCAAACCGAAACTACGAATTGGAAATGGTACCAGGACACTTTCCACCACAGCTTGTGACCTAAGCTTGTCACTAAGCGCTGTCAGTGAACGGTGACCCTTAATGCTGTCGATCAGGATTGCTACCTAACTTGATGTCACTGCCAGGGCAGTGTGATGTTCAAGGTCTGCCAGAAAGATTTTAAAACCTGGCTTCAGCACGTCAACAGCAAGGCTTTGACCCAGGCGTGCTGCCTTCCTGCTTCCGCTCTTCTCGCTGTGAGGGTGTATTTCACAGAGATCCTTTGAACTCCCCGATCTCACCCAAACAAAGCTAGAAGCGCTGGGTGTGCCTGGCTGGCCATGTGCTGCACTGCAGCCTGCTCATAGATGGTCAGGCGATACTGTGCCTCTCGTAGCTGAGCTCTGGTCTCTACTTCTGCTTAGGAATTTGGGTTTTCCATCAAGAATAGCAGATGAGCAGTGGCTGGATGTGTCAGCGGCAGGGCTAAATGGCAGATAGATGACTGTAAGGGGGCGTCGGGCTGGTGGCTTTGCTCTGTCCTGCCGGCGGGAGAGGAAGAGAGGGAGAGAGAGATGAAAACAGGTCAGATAAGTAATAGTTTTAAGGAATTAGGTGATGGGGAGGAAACTTGAAGGAGAAAATTAACGGAGTGGAGAAAATGCAAAGCTGAGAAGAATTTGGGGAATAAATTCAAGGAAGGAAGGGAGGGAGAGGGAGCGTGCCATCTAGCTGTGGACGACACCGGCTGTGCACCGCAGACGATAAGTGGGACCAGCTGTGGGAGGAAGTGTGTCTGGAAGGGCAGGAAATACACTGAGAGACTGGGCACCACCCTGGAGCAGCTTCCAGCTGGCCGGCTTCTGCTGGCGGCCCCAAGAGTGGAGGCTGCTCGCCTTGGGGAGCTTCTGTTTTCCCCGCCAGCCCTCGTCCTCGGCTTGCTCCCAGACTCCGTATCCAAATCCATATGCCTGTAAAGTTACGTAATTTTTAAAAGAAGACAGACTGCATCTGTTCCATCATATGGTTTGTCTTTCCTTTCTCACATGGGAAGGAGAGCCACAGAAAAGCAGGTGGATCTGCAGCTGGGTTCAGAGGCACGATGACCTTTGACTTTATCTGAGTACCGTTCTGGGTTTTATTGTCAAAGTAGAAGCACTAATAAACAAACAAGGGAACTGGGGTTTTTTTTCCCCCCCAAGATTCTTGTGTCCACACAGTCAGAAAATATCATTTTCCTTTCATTTATTTTTCAGTTTAATGCTATATTCTCTGTACTTCTCTGTACCTCTGTACTCTGCCCCTGTAACTACAGATATCTTTATAACTTAGTCTTTGTTCTTGCTTTTATTAGCATTTGTAAAGAAGTCGAATAGGCCAGGATCATCTTTACCTGGTTTCTGAAACCCAAGCTGTAATGAATATTTGTGTGGTTGGCTACACTGTCCGTTCGGCGTCCTCTCTGTTACAGCCCTGGTTGGGTCCCGTAGACTGAATCGCAGTTCTGACCTTTGCTGCGACCATCTGACGTGTCATTGTGTGCGGCCTGGCGAGGGCGGGCTGGGCAGGTAGTGGGGGAGGGGGGGGGTGAGCGAGCCAGCGGCACACAGGCTGCCGATTGAACACGCCAAACAATGGAGCGGGTGCCCAGCGGCATACTGCCTGGCCCCCAGCCACAAAGAGCCTTTTCATGAGCAGCGGGGGGCAGCCAGGCAGGCAGTGCCACCAGTAGCCCGGCCGCGTGTCGTCACTGGAGTGCGGTGGCCTCTCTCTGGGTCACCTGCCATCGCTTGAACGTGATCTCCTGGCACCTGCCTAAAAACGGAGATATTTCAAAATAGTTAAAAAAACAAATATTAGTCTCCTCAAATAATAATTTAATACCTGGCATGGTTTACATTTGCGGGGCTTTATGCGTGGGCTTCAGTATTAGGCTTCCCGCTTGAGACAATATGTTTGTTCACCTGCCAGCTGGTTCCCTGCTCCTGTGTGCTGAAGCTGATTGCGGGCATGGGGGAATGGGGGTGGGGAGAGCACACTTACGAGAGGCACACTTGACGACGAATATAAGCCAGTTGACCTTCAGTTATTAATAACTATGTGCCAAATTAGTATTGTAGTAGGCTTTTCAGGTTTTTCGGTAATATGGAATACCGCGATATGCTCTGTGAAATTTATTATGGCTCCTGCTTGGCAAATTTTATCAGCAAGACTATATCACAGTGTTTGTTCTGTTGTAAATCGGAGGTTGCTTAATTCCTGTAGGATGTTAGGGTATGTAATATGCAGTTGTGTCCCTTTTTAGATAGTGCTGCTTTAAGAGTTCCCTTATGGACGCAGTTGAGTTTCTCTGCCCGGTGTCTGTGGCAAAACCTGTATGGTGACCTTTGTTCCAGCTTGGTGAAATAGGGCCCTTCAGTTAACGAGCCAATGACTTCAAATCACATAAAGCTCAAAGCAGTACAGAGATGGGAAATTTCTGAGAGCTAAGAAATAAGTTTGCTCCTTAAAATATTCATTGTTTCAGTTTATCATGGCCTGGTTTGTAATTTCTTAACTAAATGAGAACAAAAATCATGATGAATCAAAATTATTTAAAAGTTGAAAAATGACTTTGAATGATTTTTCATTTGGCAGTTGTCTCACCATCCATTTTCCAGACACATTTGTTGTAAAAGCCAAGAAAAATGACAATGAAAGTTGCTGATTTTAGTTTGAGATGAGTTAAACTGAGAGAGACTCTAAGTTGCAACTCCATAGAAGCTAACTGGGAGGTCAGCTAAAATCGTTATAACTTGTACCTTGAAGCAGCCAGGGTTGAGTCACTCTGGCTTGAAGTACAAAAGGAAGGCGATCAGGGGGTGTATGAGTCTTTTTTTGCGTTTAGCTTTTTTCCCCAAGTGTGTAGTAAAAAGGACACATAGTCAGAGAGTCTGCTTGGACCAGGGTCTGTCCTGGTCAAACTGGAACATCTTGTTGACCTTTCTTGGGGTTTCAGTTGTGAGCTGACGGCTGAATAGCGGGGAAGCACTCAGGGCTTGAGGTGACATTTGCGGTCTCATTCTTAGGTTTCACCACGCCCTTTAGCAACACGAGAATGACGATACCCCGGTGATGGGGGTGGTGTGCGGTTCAGCACGGTCACTGGTTCGAGCCCCTTGGTGTCAGCAGAATAGCCATATCCCTGGGTCCCTGAGTGTGGCCCTTTTCTGTATATATTAGTGCTGGGCGATATACCGGTTCATCCGGTATACCGGTTTTAATTTCCCTTACGGTATGAATGTTTCATAAACTGGCAAACCACAGGATGGCTGATGCACCAGCTGTAACACTTCAATAGGCAGCACATGGATCGCTGTGCAGAGTGTATTGAGAGGAGACCTGGGTTAACTTTGCATGCTTTTCTTACTAACTAACTACTAAAAAAACTAACTAACTACTGTATAACACAGCAATTCTCCATATATAACTGCTCCGCAATATGGGATTCGTAGCTACTGCTTCAGTCTGTGCCTGACAATTTGGATTACGTGTAAGATAATTAGGTCTGCAATTATTATATGCATATTGGTAAAGCAAAATTCTTAATGTTATTGATTTTATCACAGTAATAATTATTAAAATCATGCCAGTCAAGCAAACATGCTGTTATCAAGCTAAATATACGATAATAATCAACAAAGCATGTCTCTAACGATCTAAATATATGGTTATAATTAATAAAACATTTCTTTCTAACTAAATGTACATTATCTAATGAAACATGTCAGTGAAATAATTCTTATCAAGCTAAGTACAAGGTTATAATCAATAAAACGTCGCTATCGTGCTGAATATACATCTGTCTAATAAAACGAGTCTGTTATACTATCAAGCTAAATGTGAACGACTTTTGAAATAGCCCAGTTAATAAAAATGCATTTTTTAAAACATTTGTAAATGAATGTTATTGATGTGAACACTTGCTGCTGCAGCAAAGAAAAAAGTACATAAAAAAAAAAGGGATATTTTGTGAAACCGGCAGAATCTTCAATATCATGATACAAATTTTTTGTCATACTGCCCAGCACTATGTATGAGTACAATATATGTTAGAGACGCACCAATTGACTGGCCAGGAATCAGAATATTCAGCGTGCTTGATGTACGAATTGTATGTGCATAACATGCGATGTCGGTATTAATAAATATTACCCTGCACCTATTTGGAAGAGAATAGCACTCAAGTTTTTTTTGGAGGTTTGTAACCTACTGTATGGACTTTTTTATTTTAAGTAAAAAAACAGAAAAAGATCAATGTCGTGTTATTGAGTGAATTTAACCATACTGGAAAATTATAAAAGTCACTTGTTTTGTTATTTTTGTTATTTAAATCTGTTGCACCTTCTCATGTTTGGTATAATATGTTGGATAGAGTTGGCTGTACAGCAGCTCATTTTCAGTTCATTATTTGTACTACTTTCCAGTCACAGAGCACTTTGTGTGAGAGAAGATCTTGTAATTTAGTGCAGTTTGGGGGAAATTGCAAAGTTTATCAATTTCTTTCTTTTATTATGGAAATAACATTGTATTGAAGAAAAGCTGAGAAAATCGGAACCGGAAAAAATCGGTATCGGCAGGTCATATTTGCAAAAAAAACTGGAAATCAGAATCGACCAAGAAAATTACAATCAGTGCATCTGTGTGTGTGTGTGTGTGTGTGTGTGTGTGTGTGTGTGTGTCTCAAAAGAGAGCAAGATGGGATATGGGATATGTGCAAACTAAAGAATTCTAATGTACACATACTTATTCAAATAGAAAGTAAAGCTTCATTCATTAATTCATTTTAAACAACAGTTAAGTCAGCATTTAACAATATAATTTGCCCCCAGACATTTAGTGCCACGCGCTGTTGAGGTGATACCTAGTGATATGGGCGCGTCATCCCACCGTGGCACCTTGGGCTCTCGCTTATGTGGTCATAGCCTGACTGTCCTCAGGGAGGCCAGGCCCGGACAGGGCCAAGTCCCTGCGGTGGTGGGGGGCGTCTCCGGGGAGCACGAGAGGACGAGGTGAGGCCGGAGGAAAATGGGCGCTTTATCCTGGGGAGGAAGGAAACACGGCGGCGCTCTGCTGAGGCCCTGTTCATGGGGTCAGCGCTGTTTACACTGGGCTGCGGGGGTGGGGGTGGGGGTGGGGGGGGGGTGGCGAGCGAGAGAAGACGGCAGTATGTGTTTCCAGGCTTTTGAAGCTCACCCCCCCAAGAAGCCCATCGCAAGTGCAGCTTAGATAACCTCCTTTCGTGCATATGCGAACTGTACATTTTTTGTGGGGGTTGCATTATTATATTAATCTGAGTCCATGACCTTGAACGTCTCAGTGACTGAGTGGGTGGTGTGTACGTTTCAGTCACACCATTGCAGACACCTTGCTGTTTTGTTTATGCAGTTTCAGAGGTTAGTGTGAACAGACGACTTTGCGGTTACGTGCTGTGGGCCAATTTCAGCCAGATAGGATCTGAACATACCAGACGATTGTTCATGTCTGGCCTGTGTTGAAGCATGAATACATGGATTTTTAAAAAAATATTTTTGCTGATCTGGCAAATGCCATTTAGCAGAAAGATATGACCAGTTGTTTTCTATGGAGGTGTTCAGAGCCAAGTTCACGATGTACTTTGCTGTATTTCACCTGAGGCCCCTTAGAGCGCCCCCTACTGTGTAGAGCCATCCAGCACTTGTGTGGGGGTTCCTGGAATTACCACCCACCTGCATGGCTGTCAAGTGTTAATTTTACTTTCGATGCCGCAAGACCCTATTGGTTAAACTGGGAACCTAGTGTCCTACAGGGAAGACACATACCCCCAGCTACTTAGGCTAAGGTAACTAGCAGTGGCTCTAAAATGTTAGTGCTTGAACTTTGTAGTTTATTCAGAAGCCTAAGATTTCATTGTACTGTAGAAGCTTGCACAATAAATTTTCCTCCAGGTTTGGCATGTTGCATTTATTTATTTCAAATCCCCTGTTTTTATCTGTTAGAGGATGTCATGTCCCTGATATCTGTCAATCACAGCTCAAAGGAGTGGACAATGAGAGGTTCGGCTATCCATTTTAATACAGGTCTTACGACGTACGAACTATGCGACTTAGACCTATGCGACTTACGAATGACGGAATTCACGGCCGCTCCCAGACCTCAGATATATGGCCGCGACTGCCCTGCATCTGGCAGTGCGAGTGTCGCCCAGCGTGAGCGTATGACAATTTCTGCCCCAACTGCCGGTAGCGATGACCTAAGAAAATGGTGATTTAAAAAGTTTAAAAAACATCAAACAATGTG